GCTGTGCTACCCCACGGTTAGTTCGTAACCTTTGCCCACGCTCGCCGAAGCGAGACTGCGCAGGTTATTATGAACCGCCATGTGATGTGACCTCGCTCAAAAGCCGCCTTAAGGTTCGGCAAATTCGGCGTCTTCGTAATCTTGAACAAGCATACAAAAAATATCACCTGGATCAAATGCCAACTGCTAGTTGGCCAACCTTGCCACAATACCCCCAGCTCTGTTTGTTATGGCAAGCTATTCGCCTGGCCAATGGCTATGGTCGATCGTGGGTTAATTGGCTCCTGCAATTCGAAGCCGTTCCAGCAGTATCTCAAACATTACCATCGTTTGACCAGTTATATTGCGCACGACAAATTACTCAGTTTGATGCCGACATGTACTGTCATCAAGAGGCCAGGCTTCGCAGGTCGTCCCATAAACATGGCATGGAACTTGATGCAAAGTTTAAGTCTCATTCCCAATTTTATCAACGACTTAAAGCCCATGAAGACAAGATCCTTCCGGGCTTCCCCGTCCAGATTCATGCCCTAGCAACCATGCACCGTTCGCAAAAAGGGTTACTTCGTCTCACTATTCACCAGCCAGTCCAGTTTCGTCTTTTTGCAGCGGCCCGCTTCGGAGCGGCGACTTTGCGAATTATGGAACAGCATGATCACGTCCTGTCTTGTCAGATCCTTGAAGGCGTAGCACCTACCCACGACACCCTTCGTCAAGATAAGTATGCATTTGAACTCGATGAAATGGCCGCACCCTTCCATGACTACTGGTCTCAGTTCTGGAGTCGCGACACCTCAGTCGAAGAAGAACAGGATGAACCCTGGCAAGAGACGCTGCACTCATTGACAACTCGCATACCCCCCACCGCCACTCTTCCAGTCCATTGGGCAGACCCGCACATTGTCGCACAGACCATACGTCGTCTTAAACCCTATAAAGCAGTGGGCATAGACGGCTGGCGAGCCGAGGAACTTCAAGCACTACCTTTCGAAGCCATTCTTGATTTAGCCCATATTTTCGCAAATATCTGGCCACAAGGCCTCTCGGCACATCATCTCATTGCTCGCGTAATCCTTTTGGCCAAACGCAATCCAGCAACCTCCATCACTGATGGCCGTCCCATCACTATCATGGGTTATATCAGCCGCCTCACTTCTAAAATCATCGCTGATCAGCTGTTAAGCCAGTGGGCACAAACTTGGCCAAGTGCCATATCTGGGGGATTGCCATTCCGAGGAGTCCAGGACATTACATTTTTACAGCAGTTTCAGATTGAATCTGCCAAAAAGCAGTCCCTGCCCTGGCGTGGCTTCACCCTCGATTTAATCAAAGCCTTTAATTTGCTCCCACGCCGAGTTATCTTTCATCTCCTCGTTCACCATGGGGCTCCCCCCGACTCAGTTCAATTTTGGTTTATGAATTTACGTCGGCTGACCAGACGCCTGCAGGTTCGTAACAATGTCGGCCCCCCCATCCACATGACCACCGGTGTTCCCGAAGGTGACAGCCTGTCAGTCTGCGCTATGCTTGTCGTGTCATCCGCCTTTTACTGGACTCTTCACACGCCCACGGTCTTTCCATATGCTTATGCCGACAACTGGTCCTACTTAACAACAAACCAACGAGATAATATTCAAGCATTTGCTAAGGTTCAACAACTTGTGTCCAGCCTTCGCATGTCTATCGATTATGCGAAATCATGGGTGTGGGGTGCTACGGCAGACGCCCGTCGGGAATGGCAGGAATTCTTGCGAATTGAATTCTCCGATGACAATACGATCCCGATCCTTAACTCTACAAAAGATCTTGGATGCATGACACATTACACACGACACATCACTCTAGGTCACTTGAAAACAAAGATCAGCAGTGCGATCCAGAGATGCAAACGGATTCGACGGTTCCAGGCAGACCTCCTCCAAAAGGCACGCTTCATTCAGACAGCGGTATGGCCCCACGCATTCTTTGGGGCTGAAACTCAGATCGTGGGGGAACAGCACTTTCGCACACTCCGCCGTGAAGCTGCCATTGCCCTTGTGGGACCGGAATCCCAAGTCTCTAGTTGGCTCGCCGTCCATGCCTTCTCTCCTCAACTGCAAGATCCACTGCTTTATGTGATATCCACCGCCCTCACATTCTTACGTCGCCTTTTTCACCACAACTCGAGTCTTGCTACCAAGTTCCTCAATGCCGTCGTCCATCATACAGGTGCCGTGATTGGCCCAGCGGGCGCTCTAGCAAGATACTTAAACATGGTTGGATGGTCGTTGGATTGCAATGGACACCTGACACTAGACGGTTACCTCTCAGTCTCCATCCGACAAGCGTCCCTTCGCCAAATTCGTCAGACACTCCGACATGCGTGGTCCTACCAAATTAATAGACAAATCTGCCATCGCAAAGGTGTGACCGACCACCCATTTGATTTCACGATTTTGTCTCGGGTTCTGCGAACATTGTCAGTCACAGCTCTGCGGCAGATCGCCTATAATCTTACGGGGGGGTATCAAGTGGGAGCGGTCAAAGCCCTATGGACCTCTACAGTGACTGCTCAATGCCCTTTTTGCGACGCCATAGACACCCATGCCCATCAACAACTCCAGTGTCCTGCATTTGCGTTCATTCGTCAGAAACATCCACAGGCCGTTACGTATTTGACACACAATCCACATAAACTCTGGCTGCCATTGCCAGTCTCATTCCCCAAGATGGCTGAGCTGCGCCAGTTGTTGGCATATCGAGGGTCTGATACTAGCCACACCTCCATTCATCAAACCGACAACATCCTTTACTTCTTTACCGATGGCTCAGCAGATACCCCTCTTAATCCAGAAACTCGACGAGCTGCTTGGTCAGTTATCCAATTCCTGCCAGATTCCTCTCCCACCCCGTATATTACGATCAAAATTCAGCATGTCCAAGGTATTCAATCCATTGCCCGGGCGGAACTTGCTGCCGTCACTTGGATAGTTCGCCACGCCTCTGAACAACACTGGCCGCATACCCTCGTTATTACCACTGATTCTCAGTATGTTATAAATACTATCCATCAAGTGACTCGACCACATGCTTTTCCCTCGTGGCATCGGCTAGCTAATGCAGACCTTCTGCAATTGATAGCGGATTATTGGCAGCCTTCAAAATTCATCCTGCGTAAAGTTCGTTCTCATCAGGATATCGCGCAAATGCCCCCTGGTACTGCTCGAGAGGATGCATTGGGAAACTCGTGGGCGGACACGGCAGCCGTCCGGGCTCGACAGACGGATCATCCAGTTGTTGATTCTCTTTTTCGGGATGCACAGTTGTGGCATAATGACCAGTATACTCAGACACGCTGTATTTTAGAGTACCTTGCTGCCTTAAACTTGCATCATACACAACTCAAACAGGCACAGACCCAGCGTACTTCAACAGGACCCTCAGCCGATCTTCACACAGACTGGGGTACTATCTTTCGTGCACGTGAACGATATCGTGTTCCACCTCCTGCCATGCTCTACCAACCTGAGATTCATCCCGCGTTCATCACCGCCTGTGTTTGGGGAAACCAGTATGCTGACTTGGTGCTTCGTTTTTGCGCCTCTCTACAATGGCCATCCCCTGACAATCAATTCACGGACAACCTCATAACCGACGGAATCACTTGGCATGAACTTGCCATTGCATTTATCGTGAACACAGGTCTTCAATTCCCTACTTGGGTCCGTCTTGACACCTCTACTCGTGCTAAGCCGCTTCATTGGCAAGATCCTCGCGTTCTCGCCCTTCCGGTGCCTCGACGATCACTCCGTGAACAAGCGGAAGCATTTCGTACCATTGTACTTTACCTTCAAGGTTACTCCAGTACGCCTCTGTTGCCAGCATACTCTAAAACAGGTTCCCTCAGTCTCACCAAAGTTGGATGGGGTCGGTCTTATACCGGAGGATTTCCTCTTCGTCCTGAAATTCCCAATGCAGGTGCAGTGCAACGCACCCTCCTCAAATATGCGGAAAATTTGCACTGCAGACCACCATACCATCCTGATGGCCTGGTTCCCATGCAATTCGTTCAAACTCATTTCCCAGCCGCTGATGCAATCAACCTCACATTTCATCAATCATTCTTATACCGGAGGAATCTTCGCAAGGCCTGGCATCGTCGGGGGGACCTGGGCTCTGTTCCTATCCCGGCTGCAGACAATTCGTAATTAATCCATAATTCCATGCCCACTCATCTTCGTGCCACGCGGACATTCGGTCTCACGTAGTTAGAGGGTGGTCATTCTGTACAGTTTTTAGATTTGTTAACATCCTGATATTTCACCAACTCCCTGGTACCCACCAATACGGTGTAGGACCACGGGAAGCGCGGCAGACGTAGCGCAAGTGACGGGAGTAGTAAGGCCAGGAGCCCCTAGTAGCGTCCTTGCTCCTAGTAGTA